AGGGAAGGGGGAGCAGGGGGCTCAACCCAACTTCGGCTCCCTGTTCATCTACAGGTGTGCAAAGTATACCAAAATATTCGTCTTTCCCTGGCGAGTATTTTGGTATACTTTACACACCTGTAGATGAACAGGGAGCTGAGGTACGGTAGGTGGGGGTTGGCTGGGGGGGGTATCTGGAGTTTAGCCTTACTGTAGGCAGCTTAATTGGTTCTGCACGTTAGCAGGGGGAAACCAAATTTTTCCATGGGTTTCGCTACGGCCATATAATAATATAATCATGATAATAATAATAAATTTTCGAAAATCTTTGACTTTTTGGTGAAAAATGTATGAAGAATGACCCCAAAAAACGTCCAAATTTTCGAATTTTCAAAAATTTTAATAACCGTTTTATAACTGCCTAGCAATAAAAAACTACTGAAAACTCTATGAAAATACATAATATATCATCACCAGGTAAATCACTAGATGGAAACACAAAAGTGGTTTTCCCCCCTGCTAACCCCGCTCCCCCCCCTCCCGCTAACAGTCCAGGGCCCCTTAATCGCCCCAGATTTCCGCGAAAATAGTGTTATTTTTTGATTTTCGCAGTTTTAAAAAGATAGGTTGATAAAGATAGATTTATTTTGCCCTTATGGGCTGCAATTTAAATTCCTAGTATATTTTTCGAAACTCGATCGAATAGCGTCGAAGGTTGGGACCTTGGGATGGCCGGGGGAAGCCGGAAGTAAACCTTCGCCCCCTTTCTTTTCTACTAATTGCCTCATTTAGTGTCCCGAATCCCGACAACTATCGGCAAGGAAAAATCGGAAGAAGTGGCTACAAAACCCGCGCGGCCGGTCTCGTCAGTGTTACGGGGTCAACAACCCGCCAGAGAAGGACATGAGCGTCATCAGCACATTCACGTACATCATAAGGAACATAAGAGGTAAGAATTAAGGGATTCGACTAGGGCGAAAATCCACAGTTTTCTAAGTTGTCTCGATACTTAGGAGGTGTCATTAATGCGCAGACGTAATTTCTGTAGCTTGTAGCCGTATCTTCATACTGTGGTTTTTGTATGTGCTCTTTTTGTAGTCTATAGCCCAGCCCCTAAATTGTAGCCAACAGTGGTCAATCATTAATGCGTATACCGTGGCCGCCCGGATCTATCGCGAGTCCCACACTTGTAGTTTGTAGCTTTAGGTTTACCTGGTAGTTTTTTGTAACTACGGTTTTTGTAGTTTGTAGCCTGAATCTAGGCGTCTTGCTAGGCGCGAACGCCTCGAACTCGGTGATGCTGAGTCTGAACTTATCATCTGCATTCCGTAGCCTGCCGTAACCCGTTAGCGCTTATAGTCACACCACCATAACTCCGGTGCCGACGACGACATCAACAAGTACAACAAGTACAACCACAACAACCATAACAACGTCGACAAGCAGGACAACAACCACGACGCCACAACACAGAACGGCTACAACATGGCGGTTACGAGCACAGACACAGCATAGGTACGGAGAGAGCGACAGAGAGAGAGAGAGAGAGAGAGGGAGAGAGCGACAGAGAGAGAAAGAGAGAGAGAGAGAGAGAGACCGAGAGACCATGATTAACCTGCATAAATGATACCATAACCCAAAAAGCAAAAATCTTATCCTCCAGGGGAATCGAACCCGGGCCGTTTTTTCAGCGCAGGAAAACTTACCAATTAGCCATTTAGAGTGCGAGTCAAGGATCCGATCGACGAATTGTTGCCGAGACAATTTGAGGAGGAGCCGACTACCGTAACCACCACCCGGATACCCTATACCGTGGCAGCTACAGTACCAACACGAGGATTGCATAATCATAGAGGTAAGGCGAGAGAGCGGGAGGGAGAGAGCAAGAAATACAGGGAATGAGAGAGCGAAAAAGCGAAAAAATCATCCACTTTAAAGTACCCCACCATCACGATCACCCGGCGACCACCTCGAGCACGACGGCACAAAGAATTGTGACGACAAATGAGGATCGTCGACACCATCAGCATCACCAGCATCACCAAAATCATCTACAGCATCTCCAACCTCACCATCAAGGTCACTGGCCGAATCGGGTCGTCCCAACGACTACCACCACTACCACCACAACTCCGAGCACCACAACACATACCTATGGACGGAGACCACCGCCAAGGGCCGACGAGAGGAATACGATTGGCAAGTCCTTCCCTTGGTTGAGCTGCTTGAACTTGTTGGGGAGCTTACCAAATTTCGAAAATTACTGAAAATTGATGGGCTCTTCTCAGAACTGCTTAAACTTGATGAAAGCTGCTTACTCTTTGTTTCAGATGAAGCAGACGATCCGTTCGTATTCGAGTCTCATCCGGTGGTAGATGATGATGAACCATGGTCAAGGCCGGTAGCCACGCCTCCAAGACAACACATACCACAGTGGCCACCCTTACCTGTACCTGATCTGCCGAAGGGGTTAGAAGATGATGATGAGGAACAATTACAGAGGATTGATGGTAGGAGAGAGAGAGAGAGAGATAGAGAGAGAGAGATAGAGATAACGAAGGAGCGAGATAGAGAGAAACTTCGAGAAAGAGTGAGCGAGAGGGATAGTCTGAGCGAGAGAGACTCAGCGAAAGCCAGAGATAGATAGGGAGAGAGCGAGAGCTAGAGAGAGAGAGAGAGAGAGAGAGAGAGAGAGAGAGAGAGAGCGAGACAACGATTGAGAGACAGGGACAAATTCTAGATTTTGATGAGCCCGAGCCAACCGAACCACCTACCACTACTACAACCGAGAGGAGCACGACGACGACGACGATCAGATCACCATACTCACGCCAACAAACCCCTCAGATGGCCCCGCCGCGTGTGGAGATGTACATAGGGTAGGCTGGCAAAGAGCATTTGAGCATTCCAGAAGAATCCCTTCTAGACTGCCATCCATCCCACCTTTTTAGGGATATCACCATCGTCACCGCACTAATGGACATTGGCCGCGGCGACTGGTGGGAATATCGGAGGCCGCTCGATAAATATCACGAATTTATGGAACGGGTTCTAAGGTAATGGGGCTGCATCTAAACTACATATGTGTCTCGGTTTTTAAGCCTTCGAAACAATATGGTCATCTTCACCGACGCGCACAGCTACGAGTTTGTCGTCGCGTACAGGCGGAAAATGGGGCTCGAGGAAGTGACAAAGGTGGGTTACGTAGTTTGTAGCGTAGCTTCGGCAATAGGCCTAGGATTAGGCTTCTGCTTACGTTTAGGCTTAGGCCTAGGTTTAGGTTTAGGCTTAGGCTTAGGCTTAGGCTTAGGCTTAGGCTTAGGCTTAGGCTTAGGCTTAGGTTTAGGCTTAGGCTTAGGCTTAAGCTTAGGCTTAGGCTTAGGCTTAGGCTTAGGCTTAGGCTTAGGCTTAGGTTTAGGTTTAGGCTTAGGCTTACTGTAACCCTCTTTTGGTCGAAGTGGAAATTCCGTACGTGAGATAGCACATCTTGTGCAGAATTTTTTGCTGATTCCGAATCCGTTTTCAAAAGTTGCGGAACCCCTCAGATTAAAAAGTTACAAGTGTTTTTAATACCCAAAATGCCACAAATCGCTTACTTTAAAACGTTCTAAAAATTCCGTAAAATACTTTTGGGGGGAGAGTAAGCCATTTTCCGGGGTAAAAAAACGTGCTCTTTCGAATGGGCTATCTCACAAACCCGTAGCTCGAAATTTCGAAAATTTCGAAAATTGGCCATCCAGGGTCCATCCAGGGCATTGGTCCACCGAAAAACTTTTTTCATGAATTTTGAGCTACGGGTTCGTGTGGTAGCCCATTCGAAAGAGCACGTTTTTTTACCCCGAGGCGTGCTGTATTTTATCCCACAAAATGTTCCACGAGTTTTTTATAAGGATTTAAAGTTTGTAATTTTCGGTCATTTGGGGTAGAAAACTGGCTGTAACTTTTTATCTAGAGGGGTTCCGCAACTTTTGAAAACGGATTCGGAATCAGCGAAAAATTCTGCACAAGATGTGCTATCTCACGTATCGAAATCCCACGGTCAACAAAAAACGGTTACAGTTAGGCAAGGGTCCGCCAAAAAAACTTTTTTTGCAAATTTTCAGCTACGGGTTCGCGAGGTAGCCCATTCGAAAGAGCACGTTTTTTTACCCCGGAAGATGTCTTACTTTCCGCCCAAAAGTATCTTACGGAATTTTTAGAACGTTTTAAAGTAAGCGATTTGTGGCATTTTGGGTATTAAAAACACTTGTAACTTTTTAATCTGAGGGGTTCCGCAACTTTTGAAAACGGATTCGGAATCAGCAAAAAATTCTGCACAAGATGTGCTATCTCACGTACGGAATTTCCACTTCGACCAAAAGAGGGTTACAGTTAGGCTTAGGCTTAGGCTTAGGCTTAGGCTTAGGCTTAGGCTTAGGTTTAGGTTTAGGCTTAGGCTTAGGCTTGGCTTAGGCTTAGGCTTAGGCTTAGGCTTAGGCTTAGGCTTAGGCTTAGGCTTAGGCTTAGGCTTAGGCTTGGCTTAGGCTTAGGCTTAGGCTTAGGCTTAGGCTTAGGCTTAGGCTTAGGCTTAGGCTTTTTCGTAGGCTTATGCCTAGTTCAATGAATCCCCTAAGTTTAGGCGTTTTAAACTTGCAAACTTTAGTTTTTTTGGTATGTATTTATTGACCACAATGGATTAAATGTATTAGCATTCTGATCAATTTAATGGAATTTAATTAACTGGTTTAATTCAGCTGTAGGTTGGTCGTAATTAATAGAAATATTTCATATTTTTAGAAGATTAAAGGTAACATATTTAAGGAAAATGCAAGTATTTTGAACGATTTAAGCTTCTAATTATGTAAGTTGCTGCGAATTTAAGCCAGTTTAAGCTAGTTTACTTTGATAAAACAATAATTTTTTGAACAATTTATTCCAGGTACACCAAATGACACTCGAAGATCTGCCCCTGTGGCGGTACCACGAATTTGCATCGGAAGTGATCGCCGGAGAACACAATGATACCTTAAAGTACCCCCGATACCGGATCCCCTATAATACGGAATCGTTTAGATACCGTAACGGTGGCTGGGACCCGCAGATGATGAATCACCCGGAGGCCAAAAGCGCCACCTACGATATCCTTGTCAACTCGAAAACGCACTTTTTGCAGAATGTTACGGTAAAACTCAGGCTACAAACTACACCCCTTCAATTTCAGTTGGACAACCCCTTCGACACTGGGTTTTTCGTGTGGATAGATGCGGGATATGGGCATGGAAATGACGATCATTTCCCACGAGATCACGTCTGGAGACCAATGTTCCCCAAGGGCAAGATATCAATGATAAAGGTATACGGTTCCCTTAAATCTCGCCAACAAGCAAAAAGCTTTGCACCGAGCGGAGGGTCGAACCCGGGACTTGCGGGTGGGATGGGAGTGCTTTACCAATTGGCCAAAACGTCGTAAGGGTCGGGAAAGATCAGAGCGATTTCTGGGCCTGTGGCGTATTGGTTAAGTTCTCGCCTCCCACCCACACTATCCGGGTTCGAATCCCGCGTGCGTCAAGACTTTTCGCTTTTTGCACAAAAGTTCGGGAATGGAATGGAAATTTCAGTGATTTTCGATCTGATGTCGAAATTCCAGAATGTCGAAATTTTTTGCATAAAATTAGGGGTTTTTCCGGACAATTTACTTACGTAAATTTCTTCACTCCGAAGTTTCGACAGTATGATTTTCCGCATTTTGAAAAACTGGCATTATGATTTCCACATTCAGAAATTTCGACATTATAAAATATCGAAGTCATGAATTTCGGCAATTGCGACAATATCATTCTCGAATTTTTTCGACTTTTAAAAGTAACCCCATTTCAGCTGACCCCAAAACACGACCCAATCTCGGGGTACGGTATCGACCGCCTGTACCGTCAGAATTGGTCGGTCGTCTCCGGGGGTTTCATTGCCGGTGATGCACACACCATCGGCCAGCTACACACCGCATTCTACCGGAAATTCGTCGAGCTCGTCCAGCGGCAATACATTGATGACGATCAGGTACCCAGGCTCTCTCGTTTTTTGATCGAAAAACGATTTTTCCAATTTTACGGTTTACCGCCTCCAAACTACGATAAAAAACTAAAAAATTCAGACAACGATGGTGCTGGTGATCAACAGCCATCCACATCTGTTCAACATCGTCCACGGCGACTGGTTCGACTCGTTCAGGGCATTTGACCCTGGGTTTTGAGGCTAGAACGTTTTGGATTAAACTTTAAAGAGGCTGGCAAGGCATAGCTATGGATTTTTTCAAGCCTGGCTTCATCATAAGTCAGGATAGCACTCGCGGCACCCCGCGATTACATGGCGTAATCGATTACGTCATGTTTAAGGCCTTGGAGAGCTCGATTTGCCCTTTTTTCTCCGAAATCCGTAGTTACGAGAATCCATTGATATGCCTGGTTGGCCGCTTTCAAATAGTATGTTTTAGTTATATGGAATATTACTACACAATTGCTTTAATTCCCCAGGTATTTCCTTATATATTCAATTCACTTTGACAACTGATTCGTCACCCTTCACTTATCAAAAAAATTTGAGGAACATTCAGGTCCCCGATTTTTCAAGATTTTACAGCGCCGCGACACGCGACGCGCACGCAACCGCGAATCCAAGCGCGGCGTGTCGCGGGAATTGCGATTTGGCCATGGCCGATTGGTTAAGCTCTCGCCTTCCACCCACACTACCCGGGTTCGAGTCCCTTCCGTTGCAAAACTTTTTGCTTTTTGCGCTAAAGCGGGTGATTGAATGTTCCTTCGGCGTGGAAAAGCCAAAAAAGATTGGAAAAATTTTTCCGGTGTGAAATCTGGCTTTTCCACAGTTTTCCCTCTACTTCCGTAGGTCTCAAATTTGGAGCGGTTAGCATAATAATAATCCTCACTTTGACAGCTTTTCTAGGCGTGTTTGGCGGTACTTGAACAGTTTTTTTGGATGTTTATAAGTTTATATATGTATTTTTGTCAATTGGGCTTGATTTGCATTTTAGCTTCACGCTTTTCGCTGCGTTCGAATGAGAAGCTCGGGTTTCTATCTCTCTCTCCCTCTATCTCTCTCTCTATCTATCTCTCTCTCTCTCTCTCTCTCTCTCTCTCTCTCGTTTCCCTCATCAATTCAGCTGGTCCCACGTGCTGTGAGATTTCAAAAAGATATTCTTTCATTTTCCCTCTGCTCTAAAGGGACCTGGAAGCCTGAAAAACCCTGTTTTCCGGGTTGCTGCCTTTCCAGTTCCTTTAAAAATGTCTCCAGTTTTTTTCTTGATTCTACGCGACTTCTAGTCGAACTCCGCCCATGTTTTGATATTTATTTGTGATTTATTGCTTACCAGAATAAAAATTTTATTCTTAATCGGGCAAACGAGCAGAGATCCTGTGGGAAGCGACGTCAAAAGAATTTAAGCATACTACTTTTAAGTACAAGCATCCCTTGGTCAAAAAGCAAAAATTTTCACCCCGGATGGGATCGAACCCGGGTCGCTAACCTGGTAGGCAAGAACACTACCAGTTAGCCATCGCATTTCCGCGTTTTCAAGCTGAATCAAGGCTGGCAAGCGAGCAGAGATCTTTGAGACCGGAATTAGCTGAACACCCCTGAATTAGCTTGATGACGTCATCGATTGGGCAACTCTGTGTAAGAAACGTATCGAGAGCCCCGGAAATTCTCATAACACCCCACGGTTTACGGCATTGTCTAAAAATTGGTCATATCTTGGCTGGGCTTGATAAGCAGCTTTTATAAGAGCGTGTCGTGCGAGTAACGATGTCTTAGTCTCCCGGAAGGCCGAGCCACGTCAGTTCCGCCATGCTACTCTTGACGTTATTCGCTGTATTTATCGGGTTATCCTCGTCGCGAATAATCCCTGACCAAGTAAGAAGTTCGAGATTTGCGACTAACCCAAGCCTAAGCCAAGCCTAAGCAAAGTCTAAGCCTAAGCCTAAGCTTAATCCTAACTCAATGCCGAGTCTACACTAGGCCTAAGCCAAACCTAAGTCAAGCCTAAGCCCAAGCCTAAGCCCAACCATGCCTTTCCGTTCCCTTTAAAGGGGCCAGAAAGTGCGAGATTCTACCCCGCCCATCGACTGGGTATCGACAGCTACGTGCAGCTCCTCATGACACATTAAATTGAGGCGGTTGGGGCAAAAGTCAGCATCTTGCAGGCGGGATTTGGCAGGGCGGGTAGCTGTCGAGACCCAGGCATGGGATCGATTCTGCCACTTCCGAGTCCCTTTAATGGCCCTAAGCTTAATTTAATGTTTCGTATTGATTTACTGTTCATAAATTCAATATTATAGATTATTCCCGCCCTATCGATTAAAGCGGAAGCAGCTTTACCAACGAAAAATGGGCCCTTAGACCCTGGCAACGCGGTATCTGACCAATATCTTCAAAACAACGCCTCTAACTTCAGATTATCGGTGGTACGACGGCCTATATCGGGCAATTCCCGTCGCAAGTCATGTTTCGAGTGAGGTAAAGAATTAAAGAGGCGCGCAAGGCATGGCAATAGATTTTTCCGTTAAAAGCGGAGAGGTGGCCTGGCTGACCAGCTCCTTTAAAGGGGCAACGACACTTACGATGCTCCTAATTTAGCATCACCTCTCAAACCGAGCAAATCTGCGGCGGGACTATCATTGGGGATCGCTGGGTGCTCACTGCTGCTCATTGCCCCATGTAAGTGGTTTTGGTTCTGTTCTATTTCGAGCGGGGGAAAAACTGTGTGGGGGGAGGCGAATTTGTTTGGGCAGAATTTCGATACTTTCGCTAATTTTTGCAATTTTTGGGACGCCATTCGATGGAGCATCAAAAAATATACTAAAAGTTTTTGTTGCAGCTTAAAATGTTGGAATATAAAAAAGTTATAGCAAAAACAAAAATAACCTTTGAAACTAGGGCTGGCAAGCTAATTTTCGATATTTTCGCTAGTTTTTTTGATATTTTGAAGACGCGATTCGAGAGAGCATCAAAAAATATACTAAGATTTTCAATTCTATCTCAAAATAGCTTAATATAAAAGAGTTATAGCAAAAACAAGATTTAAACATGGTTTCGAGCTTTCATTTCAACAATGAGCGTAGATGCGAAAGCTAGTTTTCGACATTTTCGATATTTTTACAAAATTTCTTCATCGTCATTCGAAAAAGCGTCAAAAAATATACGAAGGGTTTTAATTACAACTCAGAATAACGTATTATAAAATAGTTATGGCAAAAAAAAGTAGCTCACTGCACCGCAACTCCCCGCCCCCGCATAGTTTTTCCCCCGCTCGAAATAGAACAGTACCGTGGTTTTAAAGGGGCTGGGAAGTGCTGCAATCGACCCCCTCGGTCGGTTGGGTCTCGACAGGGCTCTAAGTAACCTAAAAAAAAACAGATTTTCAGCGTTTCCGGCACGCAAATGATCTACGGGACGACGGTTCCGGACGACACCGCAGATTATGCGCAATTCGGGGAGGTAGGACCGCCTCCACCCTGTAGCATAGTGTAATCGGTTGGCTATTTGCTAAAAGTCGGCCACCTTTCAAGGGTGTCCAACGTATAGTGTCCCTACCCCTTTAACAACGTACCGTATCCGATCCCAGGTCGAATCATTCATCCCTCATCCATCATTCGGACAACACGGCTTCGAGGAAGACCACGATATCGCAATTGTTGAGGTTTGTCGTTTTAAAATATGAAGGTTCTGGGTCGTTAGCGGGGGGGGCCTTCTGCCCTTTCTCGCTCCTTTAAAACCGTGTGAAATTTAATGGCAGCTTTTTAAGCTGGAAGAACCGATGAACTTCACGAAGTACAGATCATACGTTGGTATCGCCCAGCTACCAATCTCCAACCAAAAATTCGACGAAGAGACGGGTGTCGTGTTGGGATGGGGAGCATATAAAGGTATCCAAATCGGTGTTATTAACGTTTTTTTAATGAAGCTGGGTAATGAAACTTTTTTTAGACGGTGACCACGTGGTGGACCAAGTGAGTCGTTCGCTCCAATACGCCCAGGTGCCATTGATATCTTCCGGGGAATGCGAGTAGGTTTTCGATATTTTTGGAAATCTACCAACCAGTTACGCGATTTAATAACGAGCTACAAATTTCAACGCGTCACCGGTTGAAGTTAGACGGACTTGCTGCTTTTAGTAAAAGCTATTTCCAATCTTCTTGCTTTTTCTTTTCTTTCGACCTGTTTCAAAATTTCGGCATCCATAATGTAGAAATTTATAACGCAGAAATATCAGAAAATCGAAATTTCCCCAAGTCGAAATCCAGAATGCCGAAATTTAGATAGGCAATCCCCCGGGCAAAAAAGCCTAGATAATATGGGAAAAATATCAAGATTATGAATTTCGAAATTTCGGCATTTCGAATTCGAGCATTTTGGAATTTAAAATTTTGAATTTCGAGATTTTAAACTTTGCCTCTCGATATTTTGCTCTCGATAGCCCCATTTTTCAGAGCCAGATGGGAAAAACTGCCGGCCGACTATTCGAGCGGCTTCCAGGTGTCGGGCAGCCAGCTATGCGCCGGAGCTAACTGGAAGGGAACCGGAAAGGTAAGTTAATTCACTTAATATTTTAAACATAATTCGTTACGCAATATAATTCCATTCTATTTCCACTCTTTCAGGGGGGACAGCGGCGGCCCGTTGCTGATCAAGCACAATGGCACATGGGTTTTGGTAATTTTTTTATTTTTAATGAGTAATTTACCGTGTTTCTGTAACAGATTAAGTATTAAATGATATTAACGTCTAATCCATTCACTAGAGCGACAATTTTAAGCCGATATATTTCAGGCAGGCATCACCTCGTTTGGGGCGAACGCAGAACCCTATTATCACGACCAAGGAATGGCGCCAGGTAAATCCATAGGAAAATATGCCTTCAATGGTCCTTTAAAGAGGCCGGCAAGACATTTCTATCGATTTTCTCGTGCTCTACGATGCGCGGACGCAGGCGCCACGCAACGAGCGCGATTACGTAGGGCACGCACGTGAGACAGCGACACCCAACGCGCTGGATACGGAATGCACGCAGCCATCAGGCGACGCCCGTTGCACGCGACTCACAAAGGAGTCGCTTTTAGGTGCTTTTGGAGTTTCGGGACGGGACCTAGCTAGTTCGATAGAGAAAAAAATTCTGAGCAACATCCCGTTTTCAAAAAGTGCTGATCGATAAAGCTGTTTTAGAAAATTTAATTTAATTAAAAATGTTCCCGGTGTCCGGACCCTTGTGGTGATTTGAGGTAGTTTGCGGCGGTCGATCGCCCTGGCCACATGAGGACTTCACGCGCCTTGGATCTCGTCCTAGGCATGGCCAAGTGGCTAGTGCGATGGTCTACGAAGTTTTTTTTGACCTTTTGCCACAAGTTCGATTCTTATTTACCGTTAACTCTTTGCTTTTTTGCTAATTAAAATTTTTATGCACCGATAACGGGTTCAAGAACCAAAAAGCAAAGGGTTAGCCAGCGCGAAGATTCGAACCCGAGGCAAAAAATGTTAAAAAGTTGGTAGGCAAGCGCGCTACCAATACGCCAATGCAAGTTGTGACGGAGGCATTGGCGGAGGCTTACGAATGGCGCCCTGCCCGGCCCCGAAAACGACGTGAACCGAGGAAATGGACCCGAAAACTAGAAAAAAAGCGCGAACTTTAAATTGAATTTTCTAAAACACCTTTATCGATCAGCACTTTTTGAAAACGGCATGTTGCTCAGAATTTTTTTCTCTATCGAACTAGCTAGGTCCCGTCCCGAAACTCCAAAAGCACCTAAAAGCGACTCCTTGTCAGCGTACGGGAGAGCCGCAACACAAGCGACACGCAGCGCGCCGGATACGCATGGCGATCGGCACGCGAAGCGCGTAAAACGCAATGAAAGCGACACGCAAAGCGAGAGCGCTGGATCAACGCAAGCAGCGCACGCGACGCGCTCGAGGTGACGTGACACGCAGCGCGCGTATTATGCGAAGCGACGGAGCTGGCGGCGCTGGCGCCCGTGGCACGCGACACACGTAGCGCTACGATTACGCCGCCTACCCTACCGCCGAGCAGCTTGGGCGTTGCTTGTCGCTAGTACGTCAAACGATACCTGATCTTGACTTGCCCATCCCTGAACCCAGATCCCCCAAAATCCCTGCTAACCTACCCATTTTCCAGGTATCTACACCCGAGTCGCCTCCTACTGTGATTTTATCAAGCATAATACTCAAGGAGAAGTCACCTGCTCATCCCGTTCGATCTCATACATTTTCTCGCCCATTTTTATGTGTATTTTTCTGCTTTTTAGGTTGTAATTTATCGATTCAGTCTAAAAATAGCTTAAAAAATAAATGTTCAACGATTCCGAAAAAAGAAACACCCATTATCGGGCGTAAATTCGGCTTTTTTGGCCTGTCTGACTAATGAATCGCGATGGCCTGGCATTTCCCCCTGATAAGCCACTTTTCGCTAACGCGACGACGCCCACGCGTACTAGCTGTTTTCCGCCATGCTACTCTTGCCGTTATTGGCCGTATTTATCGGAATAGCCTCTTCTAGCCTTATTCCGGATCAGGTAAGAATTCTTTTTAGCGGTAGCAGCCCCTGTAAAAATTTTAAAATCTGTACTTAAGTGTTTTAACGCTTTTAATGGATTCAGAGGGCAATTTTGGACTTTTTGGTCAAAAAATGCATGGAAAATGGCTAAAAAAGTCAATGTTTCAAAATACCACAATTTTTGTAGATGTTGAATACCTTTTCATGAATAAAAAACCACTAAAAACCCTTTAAAAATAAATTATTCAGATAATCCCCGCTCTAACCATCAAAGAAGAGCCAACAGTGTCGTTAAATAAAACCCAACCACAGCCTGGGAACGCGGTAACGGGTTCGCGTTTTAATCCGGAAAATCGCTCTGCAGATTATCGGGGGTGGCGCGGCAAGAGAGGGTCAATTCCCGTGGCAAGTCATGTTCCGAGTACCGTGAGTTTATGTTCAATAAATTTGCACGCTTGTCGAAATTTATCGAAATTTCGTAGTGTCGAAATCTTTAAACGTCGAAATCTCTAAATGTGGAAGACTCTAATCGTCGATATTTTATTATACCGACGTTTCATAAATGTCGAAATTCCGAAGTTACGATGGTCGTACTGCCGAAATTTCATAATGTCGATGTCTCAAATTTCGAAAATTGATGATACCTACATTTTATCAAGCCGAAGAACAAAAAAAAACAAATTTCCATAAAATCCGCGACGCAATCGCGCCGGCGTCCGCTAGCTTTAAATCGCGTAACCGGTTGGCTGAGTGCTGATTCTGAAGCCGGAAATGATGAAATGAGCTTTAGAGTGCCGAAGGAACCGGAACATCTGTGTGGCGGGAGTATCATTGGTGATAAATGGATCCTCACCGCGGCCCATTGCAACATGTAAGTCACTTTAAAGGGACTGGCAAGCCGGAGATTCCCCAGCCCAAGCTCACCCTGACCAGTAAAAGTATTATTATGCTAGGGCTGCCGGCACGGAAATGACGTACGGCACGTTGCTGTCGGAAAAAGGCGCCGCCAATGCACTAACGGCACAGGTTGCAATTTCACTTTTGCAGCAAAAAAATATATTCTAGGTCGAAGCATTCATCCAGCATCCATTATTCGGAGTACATGGCGCCGGGGAAGATCATGATATTGCGGTTGTGAAGGTATCGTTTATCGTTATACTATCGGCAAATTCAGAAATTCAGAATTCACAGCAAAGTACGGTATAAGGGACTGGGCGGCCTAAAATTGGCTTAAACTGAACCCAAACTGACTTTTTAAATGATTTTATTACGGCGCTATAAGCTTAAACGAGCTCGAAAGAAGTGTAAACTTTTGCCTAAGGCAGGCTTGATCTATTTCAAAGCGTCAATTGTTACTTGTTTGTACGCTCGTTTGTCCGTGTGCGTAAAGGCCGCGTTCCGCATCGCGTTGTGTCGCTGTCCCGCACGTTTAATCCCTTTTTCATTCATTTCTTCATTTCCAGCTGACAGCCCCGCTCCAATTCTCTTCTGCTGCCAGCAAGATCAGCCTCCCCAACGACAACCAGCAATTCTCGCAGCATAACGGCGTTGTCACTGGATGGGGAGCGCATCTTGATCGTAGGCAAATTTGCTCGCACCTGACTAGACTGCACGGGCTTCTCCTTTTTTAATTTTGCACCCAAACCCTATTTTCAGCGAATAACAATGTGGTTGATGAGGTGAGCCCGACGCTGCAGTTTGCTATCGTTCCGTTGTACTCACTCGCCGATTGTCAGTAGGTTCTAAGGGCTTTAGTACTGGTCCCCGACCACTTTAGTTAGGTTATGCTTAGGTTTAGACTTCATTAGGATTAGGCTTAGGCTTAGGCTTAGGCTTAGGCTTAGGCTTAGGCTTATGCTTAGGCTTAGGCTTAGGCTTAGGCTTAGGCTTAGGCTTAGGCTTAGGCTTAGGCTCAGGCTTATTCATAGGCTTAGGCTTGGGCTTAGGCTTAGGCTCAGGCTTATGCATAGGCTTAGGCTTGGGCTTAGGCTTAGGCTTGGGCTTAGGCTTAGGCTCAGGCTCAGGCTTATGCATAAGCTTAGGCTTAGCTTAGGCTTACTAGGGATGCCTTCGAACTTACCATCGAGTTTCGGCTTGAAAATTGGTGAGCTTATAGAGTTTGAGCTTGCGATTCCGATGCGCTAAAAATTTTAACAAATCGTCCATAGGCGGCTGAGATATAACAAGTTTAATTTTGGCAAAAATGCATGATTTTTGCGCGTTTCGTCCCCGCCGGCCCTGAACGGGGCGTGCGAAGAAGAAGCCTCTCTGGAACCCCTCCGGCATGGCAGCGTGGCCTGGAGGTAGAGCTCTCGCTTCAAAAACTTTTGGTCGGGGGTTCAATTCCGGCCACCAACTTTTTTTGAAAAAACTTTTAAAGTTTTTTGCCAAACTTTTTGCGATTGTTTTACGATGCTTTAGCGAAGGATGAAGAAACACAGGAAAAGCTCTCGAGCATTTCTATGAACAGAGCAAGTCATTTTATCAGATTCGAGAAGCTTCACAGCCCGCTCGCTATCTTTTGATTCCGACAAAGAATACAAAATAATAATGCGGGTAAAAAATTTGGCAAAGCTTTAAAGTTTTTTCCAAAAAAGTGGTGGT